AAGGAAAATTGAAATAAATAAGAAAAATGATGGGAAATATTTGTGATGGGATTGAAAAATAAAGATAGTACAATAAGTGAAAGAATAATAGGATGTTATTCAAATATATTAGATATTGCATCTGTGATCAGTATATGTATTGAATATTCAAGATATTCTACTATTTTCACAATGTATAGGTCATTAGGGAAAAAGACAATTGAAGCATTTCGCATTGTTTCACATAACATTCTCAAACATGGAATCACACCAACAAGTTTAATTGAAGAAAGCATGAAGAACAATATTGAAATGCTTATCACAAATGCAGAGCGATGTAATGCAGAAGGAGATGATAAAGAAATAATTAAGATAGTATTTAATAATACATATGGAATGACATTAATTGAAGCAGGAATTATTATTTGTAAAGACAAAACAATAGATGTGTTGAGAGATATTGGAGAGAAGAAAGAAGTTATTGAAGGATTAATAGAAATAATGAAAAGTCCAATCACAGAAGTTAAAGAAAGTGCAGCACGAGAAGTGATTAGAATGAAATATGGAGAACGAGGAATGAAAGAAGCTATATTTAATGTTTTAACATCAAAAGATTACAATAAAGAAGATGAAGAAATGTGTAATGAAGGAATTAAAGAATGTGATAAAGAAAGAAGTGGAAAATAGATAAAATAGTTAAAGCAGCATTCACAGTTAATAATAAGAAAATATTACGGAGATTAAATGAAAATGAAACAGCACGTGATGGGTTAATGACAATGGTTATTATCCAAAAAGGAGATGCATGGAATGAGATAGAAAGATGGATACGAAAAGGATTAGAACGAGAAAGTATTGAGAAAACAGTTAAAAAATTCACAAAAAAAATGTATGAAATGGATATAAAGAAAACAATGAATATTGGAGTTAAATATTTTGCAAGTTGTGGATTATATTGTTTAGTTCAACCAAACACACCATATGAAATCATTTATGAGTATGGAAGAATAATGATGAATGAAGCAAATCCAATCATTCAAAGAAATATGAGATGTATTGTTATGAAAGTGATTGAGAGTTGTTATGAAATGAAGAAAGACACCACAGAAATACGACAAATCATCGATAGAAAAACATGTGATATGGATAAAGTTATTGAACATTGAAATATAAAGAAGAAAGAACAATATTGATGATTAGAAGAAAGAAAGGAGAAATTAAAGAATGTTTTAGAAATCTTCAAAGCAGAAGTATCACATGTTTAAATGAAATAGACAAACAAAATCAAAATCAAAATGAAGAAGAAAGAAAAGGAAGAAGAAATAACTAAAATGTATGAATGAATTATGGAAGATCTCAAAGAAGTAAGTGAAACATTTGGATTAAGAGATATAACTAGAAATGAAGAATGTGTTGAAGTGATGAAGAGATGTAATGAAATAATGAAGAGAAGAAATGAATGTTATGAAGAATACAAGAAAGTGTATCGAGAAATAGTTGAAATAGAAATTTCAAATATACCAATAAAAGAAGTGAATTTTGTTGTAAAATCACAGAAGGAGTTTTATTAAGAAAGGTGTTAAGTGATTTAATCAAACAAAGCCAATCGAAATTAACAATGTACAAAACACTTCAAATGATTTCAAATGAACAACTAAACCAAACAATACAACAACATAACAAAGAATTAAAAAAAGGAATTATTACAACAAAAGAATGTGTTGTTTGTCATAAAGAAAAGGATGAATTAATCAATGTATTTGGATGTGGTCATAGTTATCATTCAACATGTTTAAAATCAACAGGAATATGTTTAGAATGTAATCATCATATGAAATAATTAGTTTTAATCAACAACGTGATTAGGTTGTTGTTGTTATATCATTTGAAATGATTATTTGACAATAAATCACATTATTTATTATTATCATTTCTTGTTATCTTTTTATTCATCATAAATCATTTCTTTTGATTAATTGATTGATTTTGATTAACAACATTCATTATGTTGAATGGTAAGTCATTTGACCACTCTAAAAAACAAGACCAATAAGAGATAATCAGAAAATGAAAGATGATAGTGAAAAGTGGATGTTTCATTCAAATTTTTTATTTATCATAACTTAAAAATAGAAAAATAAAAAAATCGAATAATTACTATTTTTAAAATAGATTTTTTTTAAATCTTAAAAATATTTTAAGTTGAAATAAAATAAAAATGGAAAATACAACAAGAAACAACAAATCAATAATGAAATTAGGATATAATGAAATAATGATAACATCAATGTACTTTAATGATATTAAAGATTTTATTAATTTAGAAATAGGAATTAAAAGATTTCAAGGAAATATTGAACGATTTCATTTTAATCCAATTCCTTTAAATGAATATTCAAGAAAATTATTTACTAATATTGAAACATTTCATACTTATAATGAAAATGATGAAATATTTAAAGATGGAAGATTATTTAAATATGTAATATGGTATGATATTAGTTATTCATTATATTTAAAAGAGAAAGAAGAATGAAATATATGTAAAAATATAGAATATACATAATATGATATAAATACATATTGAATAACATACAATATGAATTTCAAATAATATGATGTTATTGTTTTTATGAACGTTCATCATTAACATCATTTAATATACTATCATCATTTACATCATTTGGAATTGGTTGTTTTTATAAATGTAGATGTGTTGAAGAATTAAAACAAAATAAAACAATACCAATAGAGTGTTTTAATGAATATTAGAATATAAAATACCAATAATAAATGAGATGAATGATAAACAACCAATAAAAAAGTGTCTGATCTAATGGTGCAAAATAATCAACTTTGTTCTATTGATGTAAAATATTTTACTCATTTTTGTGATTTTTATTTATGTAATAATTTATTCACTTATTTTGTTCAATGTAAAATGAATTGCTATCAAGTAAAATATAAAATAAACAATAATATCATAGTAGAAATAATTAAATAATATATTAAATGAGAAATGAATAAAAATAAGAGAATAAAAAAAGAGGAGGGAGAACAAACAAGAGAGAAGTTAAAGATAAATAATTAAAAAATAGTTAATTAAGTATTAATAGAACTTGTGTCTATTGTTCCTGCCTCACCGGAGACTAATCCCACCCCTGAGTCTTCGTCTTGTAGTTCAACTACATATGTTTGGTTGTGATCTCCACAGTGTTCCATGACGTCCATCATATTCTTAATTACAAGGTTTTTAATTTCTTTAATGATGTCATTTTCGACTTTTAATTGTTTAATTAAGTTAATACTTTCGGCATTTACTAGCCCATTAATCCAAATTACTACTGCAATTATTTTGACATCCTTTAATTTCTCTATTTTCATTACCCTATTTTTTAATTCTTTGTACATATTTCTTTTCTTCCAATAGGCTCCATTAATATTATGATCTGCCACAATAGTCATATCAAATATTAGACCAGTTTTATTCTTTTTATCTAGTACATATATGTCTGGTCTTTTATGATATAGTCCATCACTTTTTGGCATTATTTGTTTGTTCCATATCATAGTGATGTCATTGTATTGGAACACTGTTTCATATGGGAGTTTCTTGTATTGTTTATTTAATGTGTATTTTCTTATTATCCCATATGATGATGCCAATATGGTCATGTTTCTCATTTGTGATTTTTTATGACAAATACAAGATAGTAGAATGTGTTCTACTGTGGCTATCTTGTCTTTACAAAGTGGGCAGTACTTCAATCTTTCATTTTTTAATATTTTATCTTTCCTGTACCCACTAAATATTACTCCATCTTGCATTTTGGTTAATTGGAGAAATGCATTTTTCTTTATATTGACGGACTTCCACGCATTGATTGTAGTAGTTTTATCTACAAATTTTGACTCGAACCATCTTCTAAAATGTCCACTTGTTTGATGGGACTTCCATTTTTTGATGTATTGGTCGGTCATTATTTTCTTTATTTTTAATACTACTTCTTTTTCTTTTTTATTTTCACTTCATTTATTATTTCTTCTATTTGAGTCTCTGCGATTTTATGACCTAGTGATTTTTTATTTCTATTCCATATTCATTTCTTTGAATACCATCTATCTAATATGTTATTTCCTATTTCACTTTCTCTTGTACAATAGTACATTACTGTTCTAATTAATTCATTAACATATTCGTCCCTTAGGCTTATTAATCCTTCACCCATTTCATTTATAGGGACATATAGACGGTCTTTGGAGTTACAACAATGTATTTTACCTTTCTTAAATATTTTCTTATCTCAAAACCCATTCTATCTAGGTCAGTTACCTTCCAATTTACTACTGATGCTGAATATCTGAAGATTGGTATTACTTCAGTATTAATTCTTGTAATATAACTTCTATTACTACATTCATCAGTATTTATTTCATCCATTTTCTTCATCATCTTTTCTTTGATGATTTTACAATTGAATGTATCATTAATTTCATCTGACTGCCATACTCCTAAATATTTATACAAGTCCTCTCCTTCAATTAATATGATGTTTTGCATTCAATCTGGTATTTTATTAATGTTCTTTAATATTATTCATGATTTCTTCTCATTTGTCTCCATCCCTATTCCACTTATTATTTGTTTAATCTCATTGTGGATTGTTCCCATTTCTTCATTACTTTGTGTCATTATTCTCAATTCATCTATATACAATGTATGGTTTGCTTTTGGGAACTTCTCTTCTATGATTTGAGAAATTATATTCATTTTGATGATGAAGAGTAGAAATGATAATGAATCACCTTGTAAAATTCCTCTCTTCAGTTTAATACATCCTAGATATTCATTATATTTATATCATATGAATATCTTCAATCTGTTCATCATACTTTCTACAATGTCTATGATGACACCCTCTACATTAAATTATTTTAGTGCTTCTATTACCCATTCATGATTTACTGATTCATA